CTAATTTTAGTCGTGTTCCCTTTTTCCTCCTCCTCGCATTTTTTTCCTGCAGTTCGAATTGTCTCCCTTCTTGTCATTTAACTTTGTTAACAGTTTTTTTCTGATGATGTGTTAGCTGAACGTCCCCGGGGAATAACCCTTTTTCTGCAGGCACTTGATAACACCACGATGAAGGAGAAGACACTACTAGTTACTGTAGAAGTATTTTTTGAACAGTCTGGTATCAGTTTACCTGGATAGAAACAATGAAGCTATTAATATGAAGGTTTGAAATTAATGCATGCAAGATTTCACAGATCTACTATCATTCCTTCATAGTTAGCCTATGAACTCTTCAGCCCACCCTTATATATATATATAGGTAATTCATCGAGTCTGAAGTAAACCTCTACAGAATGCAGAAAGCACAGGACGGCCGTTTTGTCCTATATTTGGGACTCATCAGCAGTGCGCATCCACTACCGAGAATTGAAACCCTGACAGGTTGTCAAGCAAACGTCATGCCAACTGTTCCACCGGCCCTCGGTGACGAAGAGATTGCAAATCAGACTCAATATAGAGCCGCTCGCTCATATATTCCGTGGTGGAACTCTGACTGAGTTCTCTGTAACCATAGGACTGTGGCCCCTGGATACCCGACTACTCTCACCAAGCCGCTCACTCTAGAGCATTAGAAGCCGGTTCAAGCAATGATGTACACATGATAGAAATTATTAGGAGGATTTGATAATTATATTTAAATAAATCATCGAGTCTGAAAGAAACCTCTACAGAATGCAGAAAGCACTGGACGACCGTTTTGTCCTATATTTAGGACTCATCAACAGTGCGCATCCACTACCGAGAATTGAAACATATATATATATATATATATATATATAGAGAGAGAGAGAGAGAGAGAGAGAGAGAGAGAGAGAGAGAGAGAAATCATATAAGTGAAATGTTTGTGACTTAGTTGATTGGTGTTACCTTCAGCATCCCGACACCAGAGATTCGTAGGCGGACTCGTCCGTCCACTCGTCAAGGAATATAAGCAATTGATTGTTTACATTTCCCAAGTTTTCTATTTCATCAGCACTTATTATTGGTACAAGTTTTTTCGTAGTGTGTGTGTGCGCGCGTGTGTGCATATGAAAGTTTGCGCACGTCCACCCATGCGCCTGTCTGCGCTGATGTGCGTTCGTGTAGGTGCGCCCATGAGTCCGTCTGAGCGGATGTGCGTACGTGTAAAGTGCCGTGATTATTTGTCCTTTTCTTGCTTTTTCTTTCTGTTTTTGTTTTTTTTTTTTCTTTTACTTTACACTCACTTCTTAGCTTTTTCCCGCTTTTCCACTTTCATTTTAATTGTAGCCATTTGTAGATATTTTATTTCCAGTTATTTTTTTAATATATATATATACATATACATATATATATATACAATAAAATAAAATAATATATATATATTTTCAACATTTATACATATATAAAATAAAATAATATTTTGTCGTTAAAAAAAAAACAGACGACATGCATTGAAAAATGACCCCTACCCTACATAGACTTAACCGCTTTTCGAAAGAAACATATTTGATACAATAATAGTTAATAAAAATGAACACGCTACCACCCCTGTCTAAATGATTGGATTTCTCTGTATCCTTGGAAACAGGAAAATATGAATTTATATGTGCGTTTAAAACTCAGTAAATTTCAAAATAAATTATTCCAAAATTCGCTTGAAAATGAAACAGAACTAGTACTTTTAATTTAATTATATAATTGAATTTGAAGTTGTTAGTTTCCGTTTTTGAAACATGGTCATTCCTGTGTAGCGATGGAACCATATTTTTAAATCAGTTAATTTATAATAATTATGCTCTGTAAATTTACATTGAGCACTGTTTTGTAAAAATAAAAAATAAAGAAAGAATAAAAATATCAATAAGAACAACGGATTATATGTCTTACTGTTCTTTCATTTTTTTACTATAATATATATATATATATATATATATATATATATATATATAGGGTGCGATGGGTAAACTTCCGCCATTTTATTTTTTATTTTATCGACTGCACAGTATAGTAGGGCCAGTTGAGGACAGTGCAGAGGATTAGGAAAAGTCGTATGAGTTTAATGGTGATTACGAAGGTGTTTGGCGTGATCACTAGTGATGGCGACGTTATTCCTCCATTTATCTTCCCACATAGCCTCAGACCTAACACGGAGGCTTACATCAAGTGTCTTGAGGAGTTAGTGCCCTGGGTCAAGAGGGTGGCTGCTGGAAGGCACTATGTCTGGCAACAGGTCTGTGCACCATACCGCACAAGCAAGTGGACCCAATCATGGCTGTCAGACAACTTATGTGGCCACATCACCCCTTAAATCTGTCCACCTAACTCCCTAGACTGCAACCCCCTTGATTATTATGTATGGGGCGCAGCTGAGCATGAGAGCAAAAAAACTCCTTGTAACACCAAATATGAACTGAAGGCAAGGATTATGGCAGTATTTACCAACTTAAACAAGGACACCGTTCAGAAGAGTTGAAGTCATGGATAACGATGAAGCAGCGTATCATGACCTCGACATTTGATATGGACAGCGATAAAACGGAATAAAATGTATTTAATATCTATAGAAATAATAATTTTTTAATTAAAGTCAATATTTGATTAAACTATTTTTGACATATTATCTAGTTTGGGCCATAGATATAATTTACTTTCGGTCATACTGTTCTGAATAATGGTCGGAAAAATGTTAATATTTAGTTTTTGGATATAATACGAGCCCCTAAGTTTTAGACTTAAACATTCGGGGAAAAGTTCGTATTATGCATAAATAATTATATTATTCAATAAGATTTCATTGGTTTTCATTAAAGACTAAAAGTTACTAAGTCCATTCAACACTCTCCTCGGTATTCTAAATTATTTTAGCAACATTATTTTTATTATTATTTGCACCTGTACTTTCACAGTAACTGCAACTTGTTCTTATTAATATTACTAATACCACTTGATTTGATATCCTCTCGAACACGTAGATGTTTCGGCCGGGTGATGATTGTCATATCGCATATATGAGCCGTTCCAAGCAGTGCTGCCATCTGTGCACACCCAATGATGTCAGATACCCCCAAGGTGTCCTATGGGGTAGAAAGATTTCCGAAAACAGTCCTAAGTGCACCAACTACAAGAGGGACAATTTAAGCTACTGCTTAGTATATTTCTCTGATTTTCCAGATCAGATTTTGATACCCCTATATCTTCGCATGCTCCTCCTTTGTTTGTTTTTTTTTTATCCCAAAGTACTAGGACTTCTATCAGGATCCATTTATGGCTGTTCTTATGAACAGGTGAGAAAGCAGATTGATTGCTCTCCAAACGCTTGTCAGACAAGATGGTTGTATCCAGCATGAACTTCACTTGTTCCTTCTCGAATACTAACAGTGGTTGATGCTCGTTCTACTTCTCCGCACACTCGAGACCGTATTTCCAGTATTTATTATTATTATTATTATTATTATTATTATTATTATTGTTAAAAAGCTAATAATAGCCTGGTGATGAATGAACTTGATACCCATATGCAATCAACCAGTATTCAGACCTTGTTGGGCCTTCAGTATCTGTCTATATTTCCTGGTTAAGGCAGTGAACTTGGAGAGGGGAATTAACAGGAGATAGCTGATAAGTGACATCCATTAGGCATGGAAAGTGGAACTAGAACAGTCTACCATAGCGAGCGAAATAAAGGGTTCAATTCGACATTCCAACCACCTGAAGAAAGCCGGAGCGTACACCGGCCGAAAAGTTGTGATAAATATGGCAACAAAGATGAGGAAGATAGTCGGAACAATGTAAATAGTGTCTTGTTAGGACTATCGAAAACTTTCCTTCGCTACCATTTGTAAAGTTTAAATATGAAGAAAGTTCAATCGAATATTTAAATTTACACCTAAAACATTTATACAGCATAGGTTCTACAAGAGCGTGGTGTGGAATGAATTGTCGAAGAAAGAAAGAAAGAAAGAAAGAAAGAAAGAAAGAAAGAGAGAAAGAATCTGAGGAAAAAGTACAAATAGAAAGTTTAGTAAATTCCACAGAAAGACAGAAAGATAAATAAAAACACTAAAGGTCAGTTGAGGAGAAAGAAAGAAAGAAAGAAAGAAAGAAAGAAAGAAAGAAAGAAAGAAAGAGTATTGCCGAAAAAATGGTTTTGAAAGAAAGACATACAAATAAAATAAAAAAGGAAAAATAAGAGATAAATAAAGTACAAATAGAAAAAGTTGCTGGAACAAAAAAAGAAGGAAAGAAAGAAAAAAACAAAAATAAAGGTTAAGAAAGAAAGAAAGAAAGAAAGAAAGAAAGAAAGAAAGAAAGAAAGAAAGAATCTAAAAATGCAGATACAAGAGACAAATTTTGTAGAAATAGGAAAAGTTATGTCAAGAAAGAAAGAATCATAAGAGTAAAGAAGAGAATAAAAGAAAGAAAATTAGCAAAACAAAGATCTTGAAAGAATACTTACAAATAAACTAAAATACAAAAATACGAGATAAATTTAGGAAAAGAAAGAATAGGAAAAGTTAGGTGGGGATAAGAAAGAAAGAAACAAAGAAACAAACAAAATAAGAATATGGAAGATAATAAAACAAAGAAAAATGCAACAACAAAAAATCTCTTGAAAGAAAATATACAAATAAACTAACGATGCGAGACAGGAAAGAAGAAATGGAATAAAAAATATGAAATTGCAAAATGCAAGGGGAGAAATATTTTTCATTTTGAGGAAATTTTCCGCAAGGCGCTTCATCTTTATATATGTTTTTTTTCTTTTTATTCTTTCATATTATTTTAATGAATTTTCTTGTACATTTTTCCTTCATAACTGTCAGTGTCTGGGAGAACGGCTGGTTGAAAACAAGTTATTGTAATAATATGCGACAAGCAAGGATATCTGCCATTTGACATAAAGCAGCGAACGTGAACGAAGGGGTAAAAAAAGAAAGATGGCCGACAGTCATTGTTTTTCAAAATTCGCATTCCTCCCTAATTACGCCCTTCCTTCATTCCTTCTCTTCCTTCCTTGCATTTTTTTTTTCTTTCTCTCGATTTATTTTTATCATTTCTTTAGTGATTTTCTTTCTTTATTCAAGTTTCCCTCATTAATTCATATTTTCTTTGCGTTTCTTTTATAGCTGTTAACTGCTTTATTTTCTTTAGTTTTATTCGGATTCTTCGTTTTTATTATCAGTTTGCCTCTCCTTCGTTCTTTTTTTTAATTCCTTTTCTGCAGTTTCATTCTTTCTTTTATATGTTTGTTTCTTCTATATTTGTGAAATCCTATTAGTCTCTTTCTATTAAATCTTTCACCATTTTGTCATTTGTTTATTTTTCATTCTTTTATTATTATTATTAAGTGATTACTTTTTAAAAACTTGATAAAAACTTAATTTCAGCCGTTTATCTGGCGGGGGAGTTCTTTTTTCTTCAGTCACTCTTTTTGGTGTTTTCCTTCTTTTTTTTTTTTCTTCTTCGTCTTTCGCTTATCAGTTATTCTTATTCTTTTATTCATTTTTTTTCCCCTTAAGTTTTCAACATTTCTTGGAGTTTTTCATTATCTTTCTTTTTATGACGTTTGCAATATGTTTAATTTTTTTGTTGTTTTTATTTGTAATTTTTTTATTTTTTGCTTTTTTTTCCTTTTTTTCCCCAGACTAGTTTTTCTTCTTTGAATTTCTTTCTTTTTTTCCCTTTAGTTCATTCGTCTTCCTTTCTCGCTTCGATTTCAGTTTCACTTCTAGATATTATCTTTCTTTCCATATTTATTTATTTTTTTTTATTCAGTTCTGTTCACACTAATTTTCCCAGCTGTTTTTTTTTTTTCTTTTACCAGCATTTTTCCCTAAGGCTTCCTTTATTTTTTGCTTTTTTTTTTTTTTTTTTTTTTTTTTTTTTTTTTCTGACAGAGGTAGGGTTATCTTTTTTTCAGTTTTTCGTCACTTGTCTTTGTTTATTTATTTGTTTTTCTATTTTTATTTTTTTGCATTCTTTTTTTTTTTCGATAATTTCTTTCATTTTCCTTTGGTTTCATTATTTTTTCCTTTTCACCTTTTCTTTGTATTATTCCATCTCTTCATTATTTCGTTTTATTTTTTGCTCGCAATTAATTTTTTACAGAGTTCTTTTTTTTTTTTTTAATGCAAGATCATTTCAAGCCAACGTACAAAATGAAAAGAGAAACATTTCGATAATCTTATTAAGGCGACTTGACTAGGTTAAAATGACCGAAATGCGTTGAAGGGAGGGAATATTTAAATAAATATTTGCCCTCCCCCAATGTAGGAATGTGTGTGGGCGTGCCTATAAATAAGCGCGTGCATGCGGATAGATCTACAATTCTATTAGTAAATCACTTGCTGCGCGCATGCGTGCCTATGAACAAACCGGCGCGCATCCACACGTAGTTTCAAATTCTGACACATGTGAATATTTCCTAATTTTATCCTAGTCTGGAACAAGGACTCAATTATAGTGCACTCAACGAGGACCAATCTGGCAGACAATAGCTTGGATGTCAAACTTGTCCTTTTTCAAACTCCCTGTATTTATGTATACGTACCAAAAGAACTTGAGCCAACAATTGCCCACTGTTATCGTACACATATTCAGAACAGTTTGCGCAGGTTATTTTCGCATATTCTGTTATAGTTAACGCATAAATATTATTTCGATAGATGTGAAGTGCTAAAATCCCAATTATAAGTGGACCGGTTCCTGCGGATATATTGCGTCTACATTCTTTTACGTATAAGAGGTATAGCAATTGAATTCCTGGAATGATCCTACGAAAGGGGAGTTGCTTATCTGGTCTTAAATGGCTGCAGTTACCTTCTAGTTATTTTCCCTTGTTAAGTTATGCAATTCGTGAGAAAATAGTGTCATTTCTTGAAACATCTTGGAACTCGTTTTTCAGGATACATTTAGTAATTGAATGAATGTCAGGGATGTCATAAAATCTTTGTCCTTTCGTGACATTTTTTTCCATTTTGGAAATACTCAAAAGTCTAGGGAATTGGGTGTACGGTCCATTTTTGTAATTAATTTTTAGCCAGGAACTCGCGAAATCCTAATGCACTTTTCACTAGAATTTTTCCAAATCTTCACACAAACCTTATGTTAATCCTCTGCAACTAATTTCTTTCACTCATTTTTCAAAAACATCTTCCAATACTTCACAACAACGGAAGGCTTGTGTGGGTTTCAAAAATGCGGAACTTGGAACATGTCCGAATATACTCGTGTACAAATGTTTTACTGATTCGCCTGAGACAGTTTGTATTGAACGTTTCTGGTTGAAGTTTATGAATTCAGTTTTAGAGGTAGTGACATAGTCCAACATCGTTAGCAGCATTTTCTAGATGATGTAGAAGAGCTGTGGCATTGGTAATTGTGTCTGCGGCGATAGCTAAATCATCTGTATAGTCAATATCCACCAACTTTTTGCAGGATATCGACTTGAGAATCTTGGTGATAAAGTAAACACTAGATGATGTTTATCAACTGAATTTCTCAATGCATAGTCAAGGGTGATACCAAAGAGAAAAGGTGCAATGATGTCACTGTGAAGGATCTTTGCCTTTAATGTTGAAGAAGTCTTCGTCTCCGTCTGGAGATCTAACCAAAGATTTGGTAATTCTGTATAACATCATTACGGCAGCTACTGTCTCAGAGTGGATGCTATATACCAGAAGGATCTTCTCCATTTGCCCCAATGAATCGAACAGAATCGAAGGCTTTAGAGAAATCTACGGAAAAGTAAGTCGGCTTGTAGATTCTATGCACTGACGCCCTTGCTGTTCTTTCATTTCATTAGTAAAAGTATGAGACCTTATCTGCTAATCTAGTAATGGGCTTAATTTCATAAAGTCCAGGTACAATAGAGCAGAATTAATCAGAACTAGTACTATGAAAATATTTATGGAAAATATAAAGGCTTTTTTTTTTTTTGCTTTCACTATGTCCTGTGAGTGTTAAATTCACTAAAACCTCATGATATGTCAAAGAAATTTCAACTTTGCTTTTCTTATCGTAGGCCTATTGTCCTTATTCTTATTGTCCTGTTAATTTCTATTTTGCTTAAATTTCATCGTTGCCCATATGTTCAATAAATAGTATTCTCAGCATCCTCCTGTTGAGCAAAATCTCTGTCACTTCAAGTTTCTTCATCATCTTTGAAGAGATTGTCCAACCTTCACTGACAATAGAACATTAGATATTACAATTAGCTCTTATTGTCCTGCAAAATATGAAGGACCCCGAATCAACAATATTCGAGATGAAGGGCATGTTTTTTTTCTTCTGAGAAATTTAGGTAATAGTTATATATTGAGACTTGTTTGTCCGCACAATATATATATATATATATATATATATATATATATATATATATATGCGTGTGTGTATGTGTGTTAAACGTAAGTCGTCTAGATAGGCATGTAGTAGTGTGACCAATGTAATTATTTATCAGTTTGGTTTGATCAGAAACACAGTTCCTTAAAGGTGTTTTTTACACACTTTATGTCTAGAAAAGAAATCACTTGTACGAACAGAAGAAAAAATAAATAAAATCCTTAATCGCACTACCTTGTCTGTCGTCTTTAATGAAACACGTATAAAAGATTGATTGCTGCCTAAATATACAATATAAGACAATTTTTGTCTTTATTTTCTCCCGAAATTAAAACAACCATACGAAGCTTAGAACGGCTCATGATCAAACATAATAGACATTCGTAATCTGTTATAATAGTAAATAATAGATAAATAATAGTAATTTTTACCTATCATAATTTTACACAGACTCCCACCACACGTATATACATACATGCGAGGAAATATTATTCAGTGAAAAAATAGAAAATGCTCTGATTGTTGACATGCATACATTCACGAGACATTCACGAGAAATTTTCGCTACACTTCCAATCTTTGAATTTCAACATACAAATGCGTATGTATTGTCACAACACCACCCATATACATACATATGTCAAATCCGAAATTGTCCACATATGTTGATATATGTATGAGTCCCGACGGACAAGCAAATGTGTATGTGTGTTTGCGTACCTCATCGGGTGTACAGACATGCATCTATGTTTGCGTTAGCACGATGACATCACGACGACGATTCCCCCACTCCCATAACAACACCAAAACACGCAATCTACATAAACCCAAATTTAAAAAAATTAATCAGTTTGTCTGACGATCGCAAAAGCGTTAAACCCAGGGTCACAAACTCACATCAATCCAACTATATATATATAAATATAGATAGATAGATAGATAGATAGATGAACACCAAGCACCAACAGTCAGTTTTCATGCATGAATGCTATGTTTATGTGGGTTGGGTAATAGCTCAACTCTTTATACATGGACTATCATAATTGCTAAGTTCAGTTATCTACCGTTTATTGTGTTATTCTAACACCGGTGACGGTTATTTTAAATTATCCTTATGGTTACTGTATGGAAATAGTTATGGGTCGCAACGTGGTTATTTGATATTTATTATATAGGTTGTTGACTTTTAAATCATTATTTATTTATTACTAATTACTTTAAGGTATTTTGTAATTATTCATTAATTATTGACTTCTTGTAACAGTTATTAATTTGACTTAATTCTGCTTATGTGGCCGTTGGGATAAGAAAAAGAACCAGGCATTGCTACCCATAATGCCTCAATGACTAGCATATATAAATAGTCAAGCTATCACCCAACCTATACGACTTGAAGATCGGGTTTGAAAGACGTCGGCACTTGGTCTTGAGTTCACTTTAGTGTCCACTGATATTCACACACGCTCTATTCCAGACATTAAGCAGTTTTACCCATAAATATAGCATACCATGAACTATATTTTATCCGATATATATATATATATATATATATATATATATATATATATATATATATATATATAGTTGGATTGATGTGAGTTTATGACCCTGTGAGAAACTTTGTCTGACGATCATAAAGCGTATAGAAACCAGGGTCAGAATCTCACATCAATCCAACTAAATATGTTAGCTCTATCACTGATATTGAGCGCTTTCCAATAAAGTATCGCGCATATATAACAGATAAATAATATATACAAAATTGCATATATATATATATATATATATATATATATATATATACACATATATATATATATATATATATATATATATATATATATATATATATATATATATATATACAATATACGTGTGTGTGTGTGTGTGTTTTGTGTGTTACTTTAAACTTTGTTTTAGTGGATACACATATTTGACTAGACGCTCCGTATAGCTCGGAGAGTAATAACTGTGTATTGCAGATGTGCATTTTTTTTATATGGTTTCTCGAACATTCAAACCGGATATGAAAATCAAACTTGCAGTTGATTGGCAGTTTTCGGCTTTAAGATACTATTAGACCATGCGGTACTCACCGTTGTGCAAACTTCTTCTTCTTCTTCTTCTATGTGCGGTGTTTTTTCAGGACGTGGGCGATCATGGCTCTCCACAATTTATTGTTCTTTGCAGCCCTTAGTAATGTCTTTTGCTACCTTTCTTAATGTAATTTCAGCCAACTATTTACACAAGTTCGTTAGGTAGGTTATGGCTATTTTCTAAGCATAGCTTAGATATGGCACAAAGCCGAAAGTATGGGGCACCTAGTGAGGATCTAACTCACTTTTCAGTTGTAACTGGTCTAGTGGGACAAGCTTGCTTGATATAGAGGGCGGTGAGGAATGGTACGAGAGACATGGTCGAGTTTAGAGAGGGAACGGAGAGTTTTAAAATTATTATAATACTTAATATTGACCACCAATATTATCTATATATATATTGACCACTAATAATATATATATATATATATATATATATATATATATATATATATATATGGGGTAGAGAGAGACATAGAATAGTGAAATTCTTGTTCTTTATACCATTTCATGGAGGAGTGATTTTTTCTTTTTTCTTTTCTATTTATAAAGACAGACTCGGGGCATGGATATAATCACGGCTGCTTGCATCGATCGACGCATGGCACAACACGAAATTACATCAGATGCGTTTAGTCGCAGAGACCAGAAATATTTACGTTAATCAAAGAAATCAATATGCACCAATATGGCCAACAGCTGTCTTACGGATGTGTTTGTGTGATTTTTTTGTTTAATGTTATATTTTCGTTCTAGGGGAAAACTATTCTCGTTATCTTCCCCCCCCCTTCATACATAGGTGTGTGTGTGTGATTTTCTTCCTCGTTCTCTCTCTCTCTCTCTTTCTCTCTCTCTCTTTCGCTCGCTCGCTCTATTTTAAATGGGTGATCTATTTGTCTTGTACATTGCTAATGAACCAACAGTATATCAACTCGTAGTTCTAAGAAACTAGGTTTTTCTCGACATCATCTGCGTCATTGTAAAAGAACAAAAAAAAATGATGTAAGCAATGAATGCCGAAGAGAGTGAGGATAATATGATGCCAACACATTACAAGAGCTCAGAGTTCGATAATGGTTATACGGTGCGAGAAAAAGACAGACAAAACAGAAAGGAGAGAAGAAAAATGGTAAAAAAAAGAAGAGGAAAGAAAAGAAGAAAAAGAAAATAACAAGTAAGAAAAATAGTTAATAAGGAAGGAAAAATAAGAAGGAGAGGAGAAGAAGGGGAGAAGACAGAAAAATAAAATAGGAAAAGAAAAATGAAAGTGTGGAAAATAAGGTGGAGAGAAAAAGGGAAAATAAAAAGAGAAAAAGGAAAAGGAGTAAGAGAAACTATAAAGGAGAGAAAAAAGGATAATTTAGAAGGGGAAAAAGAAAAGGAAGAAAAGGTAAAGAAACTAAAAAGAAGGGCAAAATAAAAGGGGATAACATGGGAAAAAGATGAAAATAAACTAAAAAAGAGAGAAAGATAAAAAGTAGGAGAGAAAATAAAAAAACAACAAAAATAAGGAGAGAAATGGAAAAAGTAAAAGAAGAAGGTGAGAAAAGAAAAAAGTGAAGATTTAGAGGAGGGAAAGACACTCAAAAGGAAAGAAGAAGAAAAATGAAAAAATATAAAGCTGAGAAAAGGAAAAATAGAAAATAAGAAGAAATGAAAAAATGAAAAATTGAAAAATAAAATCAAAAAAAAAATTGAAAAATAAAATAAAATAAAAATTGAAAAATAAAATAAAAAAAATTGAAAAATAAAATAAAAAAAATTGAAAAATAAAATAAAAAAATTGAAAAATAAAATAAAAAAAAATTGAAAAATAAAATTAAAAAAATTGAAAAATAAAGTAAAAAAAATTGAAAAAATAATAAATAAAAAAAAATTGAAAAATAAAGTAAAAAAAAAAACATGCGAGTGTTTACGAAAGCAGACTATGAACGATTCGTTGATTTGCCGTTAGCAAACTCCTCAAACTATTTAATTTGTAATGAATTCGTATCTCGCTCAATGCTCCATATTTGTGGCTTTGTGCCAGACTAACATCACCTTTGATAAACACATCAGATTAAGAATTTGGTTACGCAATCAATCCTCTTTGAGCACCCCGTACTAATATATTTGCGTCTGACTAAGCTCAGATTTACGCGTCTCGTCTTTATGTAATTGTGGGTCTTATGGATAATTACTAATCTGTATTGAGTTTGGTCTTTAATACAGTCCCATGATTGTACTAAACCTAAGCTAAGCCCAATAAAGAGAAAACGGGTTGGAGAACGCGGAAAGGCGGTCTAAACAGAAAAGAAAATAACTTTGAAGAAGAAATGGTTAACGATGATGCAGAAATGCAAAGTTTACAAATTACAGTTATATTTTATTATTTTGTAGTTATATATTTTAACTGTTGTTTTTTGTGTTGATTTGGGGGTCTGGAGTTTAGTGCTTTACGCACAACCACATAAACTCGCTAAATGCTATTTAGTTGCTAATATCAACTCAATCATCCGAATGAACTGAGGTGAACAAAAAAAAGAGATGAGAACTATAGAGAGAGCGGGAAGAGAGAAAGAGAGAAGTGGAGGAAGTTGAAGAGAAATTGTAAAAAAAAAAAGAAGAGGAAAAACGAGAACGCTGTTGATTAACTTAAAGCGTTATGAGAAATACAACACCTTTTCGAAACCTTGACTATCAACACAGCACCCGCCACCGATCTGCTACCCAGCCACAACAGCGTCTATTTTAACCTCTACAAATTTTCCTTCTGCCATTCAACATTCAGTAATTGCATCAAAATCAATACCGACGTCTCATTCACTCACATTAGGACACTGCTATCACCCCATTGCTCATTTTCAACATAAACAGCACCATCTACAGTGCCACTTTAACTATTCTATCAACATTAATAGAAGAATAAACATGGCTGCTCTAACGATACCGTCCACATAACCACCCTAACTATACCATCAATATTAATAGAGCCATCAACAGGTCATCCAAACCAAGTCCTCAATATTAATAGTACCATCGTAATCACCACAACATTAACTTTAAGCGAAACATGACTATGGCCATTATGACAATAACATCAATATTAATGTAGCTATCAATATGGCAACTGTAACCATTCTGATCAGGACTATGAGCATCATCAAAATAGGCACCTTAGCTAAACCATCAACATTAATAGTACCAACTACATTGACACTTTATCCATTCTATCAACATTAGTAGAAGAATAAACATGGCTACTATAATGATAGCATCAACATACCCACCTTAACTATACTATCAACATTTACAGAACCATCAAAAAAATTCACTCAAACCAAATCATTAATATTATTAGTATCACCATAAAATCCGCACAAAAATATACCATTAACATTAAAAGAAATATCAAAATGCCTACAACGAGCATACCATCAATAGTAATGGAGCTATCTATATGACGATAGTAACCATTTTAATCAACCTGAACTTCCCCATTAAAATATCCACCCTAACACCAACATCAATAGAAACAGCAACACCAATACAACCATCAAAATGGCTACTCTAACGCTACCATAAACATGGCCGCCATATCCATACCATCAACAATAACAAAACCATCAATATGGCCACTCTGGCCATATCATCAACATTAAGAGAAGCATCAACAAGCTCATCCTAACAAAACCATCAATATTAGAAATCAAATAACCACTCGAAATATACCATCAGCATTCATGGTACGATCAACCTGTCCACAAGGAATTTTGATAGAAGGAGCGTTATAGCAAGACCAACAAGGCTATCCTATACATAGTACCAATATTTATAGTACCATCGACAAAGCCGCCTAGACTATACCATCAATATTAATAGCACAATCAACTTGATCAATTTAATCATACCATCAACAGTAACAGAACTAACAATATGACCATCCAAAGGATAACATCAATATTAACAGAACCACCAACATGCTCTCATGAAATATACCAAAAACATTAATAGCACTGTCAATATTACCACTCTAATCATTTCATCTATATTAATAGAACTCTCAACCACAACACCATACAGGTTAATAGTATGAAAGTTAATAACAAGTTCAACGAGGCCACCCTTTCCATACTATCAATATTAATCCCTATATTACCTTTATGATACATCTTGAAGTTAAATACATTTTCAGAGCGTTGCATCTTTATTCTCAGTCAGTATATACGCGTAGACACACACACATGTATTTATGCGTATGTATGTGTCTGCAAGTGTGTGTGTGCGAGCGTGAGTGTGTGTGTGTGTGTGCGTGTGTGTGTGTGTGTGTGTGTGTGTGTGTGTGTGTGTGCAGTTTGTTTTAAACATACAACTTAATGCACTTCAGAAAGTCGCAAGCATCAACAGTGCACCACGCCTAATTCCCGGAGGAAATTGCAATTGATATGTCCATAATGGCGCGCTTTGGTTGCTATAAGTTTTCGCGCCAGAAAACAGCATGACGCAATCTCGGGACTCTTACAATGGTCAATAACGTGGAATCTATTCTTCGAAAGCTAAGGATCATGCGGTGAATCTCTCACCGCAATCTCTGGAAACAATAGGCCATAATGCTGTGTTTGCTGAGTAAGTCTTCAGTTCTCGTTGTCTGCATTTGTCACGCTCTTCTGAAAGTGAGAGAAATCAGGAATTCTTGAAACATGACGTACTTTGTCTACATCCGGTTGAAATATGAAGATCGAATCGAAAATTAATGTCAGATAATTGAATACACTCGTTGAAAGTAATAGTAGTTTATAATGGAAACAGAATAAATGAACGCACTGACCCAGGTAGCCTCCCTCAGAGGGCAATGGATAGGGAATTCTTAGATCATTCTTAGATCATTATTACTGTCCTTATACCAAACTTAACTTTAGATGCATCGTTGTAAAGCAATGTTTACAAACCTGGTTTAGTAGATTATTTGTTTGTAGTGGATTCGAACCTCACAGAGTGATCCACAAATATAGCCTTGTGTTAGACTAAATTTAGCTCAGGTCACACATTTCATTACTACCATATCGTGAGTTTTGTACACACAATACAATAATAAGTGACTCAAAGTAAAGGGTTACTGCATGAGGTTGTTGACGGTAGATAAAGGTTGACCCTAGACCTAAAAAGGGTAAGTGAACGAGAAAGTGTCCCCTCGGAGTCACTTCCACAAAGTAGCGGTTCTTGGGAAAAGGCTGTTCGAATCTAACTTTCTTCTTAGTAGCGGAATACGAAGGAAATGGAGATGATTCGACTCTGTGTCCATGGCATGGCGGATCTTAGCTGTGAAGGCATGAAATGGTGTACCTAAGAAATGTAACATACCAGAACATTGTCCATGGAATAGCGGTAGTAGAAAAAAGCGAGCAGCTTTTCGCCTGTCAAGAAAGTGGTTGAAGAATGGATGTAGAGTAGCAATGGCGAGATACAACCGTAAGTTCTATGCTAATAGTTTCTTCTATCGCACTTCTCGCTTGTGGAATTCATTTTCGGCTTCTTGCTTACCAGTCAATTTTGATCTTCAAAAATTTAAATGTAATGTCATTAGTTGTCTTTTGTTTTCTTAATTCCAATTCTTTTATTGTTCTGTCTCCTTAATAGTAATTTTTCTCATATTCGCTTACACTCAGTACCCGCTTGCGTTTTAGCGTCTTTACTGCCTCGCTTGTGGTGAAATGATTGAAAATATAAATAAACTACTGCAGGGGTAGAATAAATATATCGTCCAAAAGCACATACATATAAATAAAAGAAGAAAGCCCGTAACTCGAATACTTATTACTTCCCTTTGTTCTGAATTAATTTAGACTAGTGAAAAGAGTGCTAAAATGCTATGTAATATCATTCCTCCTATATGGCCAGTCTTCACTTTCCAGTCTTGATAAAGTCCGAAAGTATCTACGCGGACGATGAATTGTTTTCCACCCTACAACCTCTTTCCCACAAACGAAACGTCGCAAGTCTCTTCCTACTCTATCGCTATTTCCATGGAAAATATACAAACGAGCTAGATTCCTTAGTTCCCACCAACTCTAACCATCCTGGCTAAGATCGACCACGACATTCCCTTCGCATTCCATTAGTAAGGAGTAAGTTCCGCTCTGATAGCTTCTTCACAAGAACTGTTGCTTTGTGGAACAGAATCCCAAGAGGATACTTTCCAGGCCACTATAATCTTATACTCTTCAAGTCTGGGGTTAACAGTTATATTTATCACATAAAGTGCGCCCTTTAGTCTTACCACTCACACAACAACCGCCTTCAGTAACCCTCTACCTCGATAGGCTCTTGGTCCCTGTATAAGAAGAACACTCATTGATAAAAAAAAAGAAATGACAGAAAATACTGGACAATTTCCTCAGTGAAGAAAAAGCAACATGAGGCAATAGGAATACCGTTCTACAGAAGGATGCTGAGCATATCATGAATGAAACATGGAAGCAACGAGAAAGTTTTAACGAAAATAGAAACATTGCAAAGAAGCAGTTTAGATATTTGGGACACGTAATGAGAAAAGAGGGCTTGGAGAATTTGAAACTCACGGGACATACCGAAGGTAAGAGAAACAGATGGAAACAACAAGTGACATGTCTAACGAGCTTGTTTTTATTGATTCATTCCCTTTTTTATGGTTTATCAACCTTTTGCAAGTTAAAGCCAGAAAGTATTTTTAGATTATAAGAATTTTTTTTGGAGATAAAAATTGATTTACGGATACAATTCTTACTCAATAGCTGGAGGAAGAAGAGGTGGATTCGTATCGTTCCCAAGGGTATTTTACGTATAAATGAATATAACGAACCCGGCTGGAATTAGAACTCAACTCTCTGATTTCTACTTCCGAGCCGTTATTCATTGCCCGACCCGCACCTTCCAAGCCGACAGCACCTGGTGGTCACCCACCTAAGCACTGACTAGGCGCGACGTTGCTTAAGTGATGTCACCGCTAAGCTAACGAGCTGAAAGAACAAGGGATGATAGTAAAAAGATTGATTAGAACTGTAAAGGAGAGGAAACTGTGGGAGATCCATGATCGTCACATCCGGAGAAAATCACTTTAAAAATGAAAATTATCTCCAGAAAAGCATCTCACCGTGGAGTCGAGTAATGCTAGAGTTGGGAATTCAATCAGCACCGGGTGCCCCTTGTAGTCGACATTAAATAATCAAAGGACGGTCATATGTCGTCAAAATAACCAGTAGAACTAGTATTTATTTTTACCCAGTTCTTTTCTTTTCTTTTTTTTTAATATAATTTATTCTCTGTGCGAGGAGTATTTCTTTAAGTTAAATCTGTTTTTCTTATTTTAAAATAAATAGCTGGCAATAAGTTTAAATGGAATTTTATTTAAAAATAAAAATGTCCTTTCTTGAACTTCACGCAATTCTCGTGACATCCAAAATGCAACAATTCCGGTACATAGCGACCGAGTGCTATTTTCGTACGAATACATTGTCGAGAAAAGGTAAGACAAAAACGAAGAGAAATATTAAAAATTAGAAGAGTAAACAAAGCGACTCCACCTGTGTTGCAAAGTGCAAAACCGAAAATAGATAGATAGATAGATAGATAGATAGATAGATAGATAGATAGATAGATAGATAGATTGGAATCTACTGAGATAGATAGATAGATAGATAGATAGATAGATAGATAGATAGATAGAACAGGAAAACACACATCGAGTTTCTTATCTTTAAATAAAACAAGACAATAGTTAAATTTGAATAGTAAAAAGAAAGGAAGATGAGAGACATCTTAATAATGTCTTCGTTGCCTGGGGTGGTCAAATTTTCTCAGCATGTCTGCTATTTATTCCTGGAATCTAGTGGCTGCAAATTATCTTGATGACATGATGATGACGAAAGGCAAAAGCAATGATGCTACTGATGATGAAGAAGATGACGGCACTCAAAATCATTTCACTCTCTTGATTCATGCAAACTGAATCACCACTTGTTCTATTATTAGAACAACTATGACGAATTATTATGAGTATTCGTGCGACAAATAAATGATGTATTTAACTGGCGATCGTGTGAAAGTAAATTTCCAGAATGTTCCAGCACTTTCCTGGGTATTCTTCTTCTTTCTTTTTATATGCCAAGTTCTTTCATGACGTAAACGATCATGGCTCTCCACCTCACTCTATCCCTTGCAGCTCTCAACAAGTTCCTTTCCTCTGCTAGCTCCTCCAAACCACGTTCTGTCTGTCATCTACTTGCTTAAACCCGCTAGGTATGTTATGCGTTGTTTTCCCTCGTCTCCCTTTTCCTCTATTCGACCCGTGAGTATCAAATTCTCCAAGCCCTCCTTCTTCATTATGTACTACCTGATGTTAAGTATATGCCTCCTCCTTGTTTGCATCCTCTCTAAGATATCGTCGTTGCTCATACACTCGGCCCATGATATCCTTAGCATCCTTCAGTGAGACCACATCTCTGTCGCTTCGAGGCTTTTCTTCATCTTTGAAAAAATCGTCCAATATTCGCTGCCGTAAAGGAGGACAGATCTCACGTAACAGCTCAGTATTCTTTGTTACCAAAAAAATCCTCTGACTCCCAATACTCTGGCCAGCTTTTGAAAAGCGTCCTTGGACCTCCCAATACATCTATGGATCCCAATGTTATCGTTTGAATTGTTTTAATTCTTACTCAGATTTTTATGCTTCTATTGATTTTAAAAGTACATCCAGAGCTCTTTTGAAGTACGAAAATAATGAGTTCATTTGGCGGGTTCATAGTATTTATTATTTCATACTTAAGTAGAACTTAAAACATTTTAGTAATTCTGACCCATAAGACCAATTGTTCACTCCTGAATTTAACATCATGGATTATTAATTATATTGGGGTGAAAATATAATTGTATATATATATATATATATATGAACGGCCGTCCAGTGCTTTCTGCATCTCGTTGAAGATTATTCTGTGCTCGATGAATTACTATATATATATATATATATATATATGAAGAAATATACTCTTAAGGTGTGCTATATTTATGGGATGAAGTGTCCAATATCAGAGATAGAGCGTGTGTAAATATAAAAGTGAATAATTGAAGTCAACACTTACAGCCAACAGGCTGTTTCATGCTAGACGCAATCGTCAGGCCACGAGTGTTCACTCGTAGCCTGACGATTTCGTCATCAGCAGTACGCATCCAAAACCGAGAATCGAACCTCAGCCATTTCGATACAAGGCAAACGTCATACCAACAGTACTACGGGTCGACACAATGCAGACGTCATACGAACGTATACTTGGATGAGTATCGCTGCGGAACTTAAGCCATTTGAAAACAGTTTTGTAAGTAAACACTTGCAAGACAGTAGAAAACACATTGGTAAATGAATCGTTATGAGACTTTGGAAATCACCTGGGTGAGTGAATTGTTGTCAGATATTTGAATACACCAAGATGAGTGAATAATTTCAAGACATTTGAAGACCACACGGTGAGGTAAACGTTGTAAGATACATGAAAACGCTCGGGTGAATTGTTGTAAGACATTTGCAAAAAACATGAAAAGAATTTGAAAAAACCTGGGTGAGGGAATCATTGTTATACCATTTGAAAACATTTCATTTAAATAATCGTTATAAGACGTATCACAACACATTGGTGATTGAATCGTTGTAAGAAATTAGAAAACCCCTCGGTGAGTGAATCGTAATGAGATCTTTGAAAACATTTGGGTGAGGCAATCGTTGTATGACATATGAAAATACCTGCGTGATTGAAACGCTGTATTTCATTGGAATACCTGGATGGTTGAAAAGTTATGACATTAGAAAACGAGTCAGTGAATCGCTGTAAGACATTAGAAAAACGTGTCTGTGTGAATCTTAATGAGATATTTGAAAACATTTGGGTGAGGTAATCCTTGTATGACATAAGAAAACGCCTGGGAGATTGAAACTTATGATATTAGAAAACGTCTGGGTGAGTGAATCGTTGTCAGATGTTAGAAGACCCCTGGGTGATTCAATCGTAATGAGATATTTGAAAACATTTGGGGGAGGCAATCGTTGTATGACATATGAAAATGCCTGGGTGATTGAAACTTATGAGATTAGAAAACTCCTGGGTGAGTAAATCGTTGTAAGATATTAGAAGACCTCTGGGTGATTCAATCGTAATGAGATATTTGAAAACATTTGGGTAAGGCAATCGTTGTATGACTTATGAAAATACCTGGGTGATTGAAACGTTGTATGACATTAGAAAACGCCTGGGTGAGTGAATCGTTGTAAGATATTAGAAGACCCCTGGGTGATTCAATCGTAATGAGATATTTGAAAACATTTGGGTAAGGCAATCGTTTTATGACATATGAAAATACATGGGTGATTGAAACGCCGTATGACATTAGAAAACGCCTGGGTGAGTGAATCGTTGTAAGATATTAGAAGACCCCTGGGTGATTCAATCGTAATGAGATATTAAAAACATTTGGGTGAGACAATCGTTGTATGACATAAAAATGCCTGGGTGATTGAAAATTATGACATTAGAAAACGCCTGTGTGAGTGAATCGTTGTAAGATATTAGAAGACCCCTGGGTGATTCAATCGTAATGAGATATTTGATAAAAATTCGGTGAGGCAATCGTTGTATGACATATGAAAATACCTGGGTGATTGAAACATTGTATGACATTAGAAAACGCCTGGGTCAGTGAATCGCTGTAAGACATTAGAAAACCCCTGGGTGATTCAATCGTAATGAGATATTTGAAAACATTTGGGTAAGGCAATCGTTTTATGACATATGAAAATACATGGGTGATTGAAACGCCGTATGACATTAGAAAACGCCTGGGTGAATGAATCGTTGTAAGATATTAGAAGACCCCTGGGTGATTCAATCGTAATGAGATATTTGAAAACATTTGGGTGAGACAATCGTTGTATGACATATGAAAATGCCTGGGTGATTGAAACGTTGTATGACATTAGAAAACGCCTGAGTCAGTGAATCGCTGTAAGACATTAGAAGACCCCTGGGTGATTCAATCGTAATGAGATATTTGATAAAAATTCGGTGAGGCAATCGTTGTATGACATATGAAAATACCTGGGTGATTGAAACATTGTATGACATTAGAAAACGCCTGGGTCAGTGAATCGCTGTAAGACATTAGAAAACCCTGGGTGATTCAATCGTAATGAGATATTTGAAAACATTTGGGTAAGGCAATCGTTTTATGACATATGCAAGTACATGGGTGATTGAAACGCCGTATGACATTAGAAAACGCCTGGGTGAATGAATCGTTGTAAGATATTAGAAGACCCCTGGGTGATTCAATCGTAATGAGATATTTGAAAACATTTGGGTGAGACAATCGTTGTATGACATATGAAAATGCCTGGGTGATTGAAACGTTGTATGACATTAGAAAACGCCTGAGTCAGTGAATCGCTGTAAGACATTAGAAAAACATGGGTGTGTGAATCTTAATGATTTATTTGAAAAAAATTGGGTGAGGTAATCGTTGTTTGACATATGAAAATGCCTAGGTGATTGAAACTTATGATATTAGAAAACGCCTGGGTGAGTGAATAGTTGTAAGACATTAGAAAAACGTGGGTGTGTGAATCTTAATGAAATATTTGAAAACATTTGGGTGAGACAATCGTTGTATGACATATGAAAATACCTGGGTGATTGAAACATTGTATGACAACAGAAGACGTCTTGGTGATTGAATGGCTGTAAGACATTAGAAAACCCCTGCGTGAATGAATCGCAATGAGATATTTGAAAACATTTTGGTGAGGCAACCGTTGTAAGTTTATGAAAATGCATGGTTGATTGAAACTTATTACATTAGAAAACGCCTGGGTGAATGAATCGTTGTAAGACATTGGAAGACCCCTGGGTTATTCAATCGTAATGAGATATTTAAAAACATTTGGGGGAGGAAATCGTTGTATGACATATGAAAATAACTGGGTGAGTGAAACGTTGTATGATATTAGAAAACGCCTGGGTCAGTGAATCGTAATGAGTTATTTGAAAACATTTAGGTGAGGTAATCGTTTATGACATATGATAATGTCTGGGTGATTAAAACGTTGTATAACATTAGAAAACGCCTGGGTGAGTGTAATAGTTGTAAGAGATTAGAAAACCCCTGGGTGAGTGAATCGTAATGAGATATTTGAAAACATTTGGGTGAGGCAATCATTGTATGACATATGAAAATGCCTGGGGGATTGAAACGTTGTATGATATTAGAAAACGACTGGCTGAGTGAATCGTTGTTAGGACATTAGAAAACCCCTGGGTGATTCAATCGTAATGAGATATTTGAAAACATTTGATTGAGGCAGTCGTTGTATGAGATATGAAAATCCCTAGGTGATTAAAACGTCGTATGACATTAGAAAACGACTGGCTGAGAGAATCGTTGTTAAGATATTAGAAAACCCCTGGGTCATTCAATCATAATGAGATATTTGAAAACATTTGGGTAAGGCAATCGTTGTATGACTTATGAAAATACCTGGGTGATTGAAACGTTGTATGACATTTGAAAACGCCTGGGTCAGTGAATCGCTGTAAGGCATTAGAAAACCCCTGGGTGAGTGAATCGTAATGGGATATTTGAAAACATTTGGGTGAGGTAATAGTTTATGACATATGATAAGACCTAGGTGATTAAAACGTTGTATAACATT